CCTGGCTCGAGACCTGAGGATGGCACAACGTGCCCAAGGAACCTTATCAGACGCCTGCAGAGCACCATCCTCTTACTCTCTACAGTCAAACCCGTACAACTCAGCCTTACGAACATGGTTCGCAGCAGGTGCAGGTGCTCTATTTCAGTTTTTGCACCGGCCAAGCTATCTAGGCATTCCTTGACAGATGGTATGTAGCAGATCTCGCCCATCGTCTTGCTGTCTAACGCACGGAAGTTCACCACACAACGAAAAGTACCATCTCACTTCTCAAACACCAAAATGGGTGACGACCAAGGGTAACTGGTACGCTGGATTAGCCCGAGGGCCTCCGTGTCAACGATAAGCCCCCGCACTTCTGGTCTCAAATGATATGGGGTCCTTCTTGGCCAAACTGCAACAGGTGGCGACCCGCCGGTGTTGATGTCGAAATGGGCGCGATGTGCTCGTCCCAGCTCAGCATCAGAATTTGCGAACACGTCCAGACACCCGTGAAATAGACTCTTCAGTTTCCTGTGACTGACCTGGTTGACTTCCGCTTCAGCCAAATCAACGTGTACCACTCCGACCCGTGTAGGCCTGTCACTCCCTACTGGAGCCGTCTCCATGTCTTCAACCTCATCAACGACGGAATGGATACAAGGACGGACAGAATCTGATCCGGGGTTTTTCCACGAGAATTGGAATGCGGCTAATCCACTCCAGGCCTGGCCAGGCAGGGACTAACTGAAATCCCGTAACGTTCCACTTGTCGAGCATCCGGATCAAACATAACATCTCGGGAAATCGACTCCAAATCCTCAGCTTGCGCGTAAATCATCCTTTTAGAAAAAGGTTTTGCCGTTCAATCAGATACAAGGTGCACAGAAACTGGATGCGTCGGAGTGCCTACTCCTCCAACTGTGTGCGAAAATGCCCTAAATACAGCACCCGCTCGGTGTAGTTTACTTGGACGGACTTGAACAACGTCAGAGCATCATTTCCAAGGATGGCCGAAGCAGGCAAATCTTCCACCATCAGTGCCTGAGCGTCATTTATCGTTGCCGGACCGACCGAAGCGTTTGCCGAAATCATACCAACACGTTTCAATGTCGTGTGATTGGCTGCGATCGGGTGTACAGCCGCTGGGTTGAGTGGAAACGAGCTGACCCCCGGAAGAGATGCCGACACACAGGTGGCCACTGCTCCCGTATCAACCAACCACGTACAATCCACTGTCGCATTGCGACCACGCACATGAAGCAAACGTACTTGCGAATTGCGAGGACCTTTGACCTCGGATCCGATTACCACTGGTTCCCCGGTAGGGACCCTCCTCAGTTTAAAGCCTGAGGACAGTCATGCTGGTTGTGCCCAAACTCACAACGCCAGCAGACCACGGGTGCCGGTGACCCCCGGCCGGGACCAGATGGAGCCTGGGTACACTCCACCTACCGGTGGTCAGAAGGACTGCATGTCTAACATCGCGCTCGCCTGCCCCTGAAACCATCCCGGCCCGACCCGGACGCCTGCCAGCCCGCTATGTCGCGCAGCTGCCCTCCCCGTGGGCACGCTCCTGTGGGCCGGCCGCGCAGCTGACCTTGGCCGGGTCACGTGACGGTCTCTCGCCCTGCTGAGCCGGTCACTGGCTGACCCGTCCGGCTCCGAGTGACGTCACGCCGCCCCCGGCGACAGCACCAGCCGGCCAGCTGACCCGGCCGAGCGCGGATCTCGGAACACGGCACGAAAAGCTCAGCCCTCGTCACGGAGATGATCAGCCGCTCCCTTCTCTACCGCAGACCCCTCCACAATGTGACTGACTTCAGCCGGCGAGCGACGGACAGCCTCCTCACTCTGTTTTGTATGTATCATCATATCAACGTCAATGCTGGGATACAAGAGCCGTAACCGCGCCGCAATATAGGATAAAATGTCATTCAAGAACCGACTCCTCAAGATAGCTGCTCCGACAGACGTGTCGGGCCCCGAGTCAGGGAATGCGCCACGAAACAATGAGAGTAGATCGGAAAGAAACGTGCCTTATGCCTCGGAGGGCTGCTTACGTCGCTGATTAAGCCGGTCCTGATACCAGCTCTGGGACGGACCGAGCTGCCGACACGCTGCCGACTTCGCGCTCTGAACATCCTCTGTGTCCTCTTCTGACAGTGGACCCATCACCACAATCCGCGAACCGAGGCCAACAAGCGCCTTCCACATCGCCTTCTTCTCATTCACCACTGTCATCCGAAAGGCATCCAACCGTCGCAAGAAGTCTTCCAGCTCTTCCCCACCACCCTACACCAATTTCTCCCGCGACTTCCATTTGGGCACGCCCTTCTCCTTGCCACCAGCGTGACATCCGCGCACTCTCAACCGGAATCAGAAGACCGACGTCCCGGTGACCGCTGACCGGCGGGCCGGTCAGCCCCCGCCTCGGCGGTCGGCCGCAGAGGCGCGCCCAGCACGCGCGCACCAGCACGCACTACACCCACAGCACCCGATGTTTCTCGACTGATGTCGCCGATTCACACGGAACATGCTTCTTCTTCCCCGGCCTGATCTCGTTTGGTGACGCTCAACATCATGTTCTGCTGTCTTGTCCCGTTCGGGGTCACGCGCAGCATTGCCTTAGAGAAGATTTGGTTTAAGGTGAGGTGGTCACATATTTTAGTGTTCGTATAGCAAATTGTTTTGCCATCTTCGTGGGAGATTACACGAAGGAATGTCCATGCACAGCTTTCTGTTTGCATGTTCAGTTCGAATGGCTACTGCTCATGACGATATTATGACCCGAGTTAGCCTGAATGGGTTAAGCAAGCCCTCTGTACATTTGACGCACGCTCGGGGCGAGTCAGTAGTTCTACTTTCAGCTTCATTGCACCGCACTGCTTATGAAGTGCGGGCAATGGTATGATCCTGACACATGCTGGGCGTGAAGGCTGTTCGTCCCCATAATGGGTAGGAGACGCCAACCTTTTTCATGACATTACCGCATTTCAATTGCACCTCCACCGCACGTTTGACGGGCAAGAAAAGTTCACATGTTAACAATGCATAAGGTACATCCACGTCCTCCCTGAGGTGCCAGTTTCCGAACAACCTGGTACGCCAACCTCTCTTGCATCTACACGGTCGTAGAATATGTGCTGCATTGCTGAAAAGCATGACGGCGATTAATAAAAGGCTTATACAAATTGACCGATGTCCTCTGGTAAGCAGTGCATACAAAGGGATTGAGTCGATGTTGTTTGCAATGTGCACGTTTGGATATGCTGCATAAAACAAGCTAAAATTGTTACTGCTTCAGTACTGCGGAGAGAGCTGGCTGCCAAATAACATCTAAGTGTACGGAACAAGTATTGGGACAAATATTACGCACGAGACTTTTCCGACTTTCACAGCATATGTGTTGTGTAAAATTTCTATGTTTTGGAGTTCCTGTGCGCGTGTGGTCAGGCTTTTGCGACTTTTGTGATTATGATGTAAAATCAAAGCAAGGTAGGACCTTTGCTTGGTCGAGCCATAAGCAAGGCCTGAAGACTACATAGCGATACGAAGAAGTGTCAGAAGCGGATATGACGATGAGTGCCTCGTTATTAGAGATCGTCGAGCACTACCAAAAAAAGGTCGAAAGGTACAGCGATGAGGACAAGGTGAGCACTTTATAACACATTTAGCACACACAGTAGTTTGCTTTCTTCTGTATAAGTGCTAAGTCTGTCTTCATGTCTTGGTTTCAACTTGTGTTTTGAGTACTTCCATGTTTGCCTAATTCCATCCATTTGAGCAGCTTTCCAAATTTTGCTTAGATGTAGGTTATGCCAGATTCAACAGGGTTGAACATGATAACATGGGATTTGCTGCAGGGGAAAAGTGGGACATTTGTATGCCAACTATGAAGAATTTAGTATAATGCCTTCAATTGTGAAATGTTAAAGCCTTACAGACTTTCACTTTCAGTAACTGATTTTTGTGATTCTGTGCAGCTCTCATGCTTGGGATTAGGATGTATTTCTCCTGTTGGCTGAGCCACTATAATCTATGTTTGTGAAACAGATATTTATGTCTGCTAATCATCCTCAGAGATTATCCACTTACATCCAGCAGATGCAGAAGTTATCTCTCAATTTTGTACCACATGCACCATGCATAGCATACAGTCTTAGGCAGGCATACCAAAAATATTCTGTACCAACTGTGCGCTGGGAATGATTTTGGATTCTCACTTAGCACTGATTTTTTTTTTAGATAATTGTCCATGTTGGCAGTGCCAAGCACCTTCCTGTAAGATTTTGCAAGATACCAGATAATTATCAAGACCAGCTGTTGGTCTTGTGTATATTTGATGTCATTTAGAGGAAGAAAATCAGCTTGTTGCAGTTGTTTAATGCCGCTTGTGACAGGGGTCTAAGAATGCCAAAGCCTATGTGATTTTGCAATCATATGAAGTACCATTAACCTGCTGTTTGGTGTCAAATATTGTTCAGGCAGTGATAAATGCTCAACTCTCATAGGCTTTTGAAATCACTTAAGGACTAGCCAAAGCTGATTTGATTGGTTTGCATGCATCTCAGTCATAACACCACCAAATTTGGAAACATTTGAGCCTTGGTACGCACATGCGCTTCTACAGTTTTCATGAGTTCTTCATCATGAGCATACTTGAGCAGCATTTAAAAATAATGTTTAGTACTTAAAAAGCTAGTTGCAACTTTAATTGCAATAGATTTTTTCAAATGGATGTTTAAACAAGGTGCAGTAAGCCACCTTACCATGCTTATTTGCAGTCATGTTCAGTTTTGTCCATTCTTGTCCATGTATTCTGCACTATCATTGCTGATACAGTTAGTGTGTTCTTAGTTGTTAAGTCTGATTATCTAACCAATTATTTTATGTCTGCTATATTGTGTAAGACAATGTTCTGCACCTAAAATATTGTCATCTGATATGATGGATTGGTGTGTTTAATGTCTATACAGCTCACTTTTTGTCTAGCCTCACTTTGTTTTGACAAAGTTACTCAGGTACAGTTTAAAGTGTGACACATATTTTAGGCTGTGGTATATGTATGATGTGTATATATATATACATAAGGTTCATGTTATTTTGTGCATCTTGCATTATGGGTTTGGCTATTTCTGGCTATGCTATATAAAGCTTTTAGGTGATATTATAAGACCTAGATTAAAGAAGAGACCTGGGCCATGGTCAGAAGCTCCACCACAAGTGTAGCACAACAATAGCCACAGCAACCAACACCACAGATACCATGCAAGTGGTCTCCCCAACACTTTGCTCTTGGCATCCCCAGATCCTGCACTGCTTCAGCAAGCTGCAGAGGCTGCCCATCACGGTGGACGTGTTGTCGCGCACCGGCGTGGGCAAGACGGTGAACGCCTTCCGGCGCGATCCGGGCCCGGTCGGGCTCAAGTCGCGGGAGCTTGTCTCCAAATGGAAGCGCATCTTCGACGAAAACGAGCAGGCCGAGCGGGCCAGCGCGCGCAGCGCTTCGCCCGCCGCCAGCGACGGCAGCGAGCGCATGGAGATCGACGAGGCGCGCGCGCGCGAGGAGCAGCCGCCAGCGCGAGGCGGAGGAGGAGAGAGCAGCGCCAGCGCGAGGCGGAGGAGGAGGAGCGGGCGCCAGCGCGAGCTGGCCGAGGCCGGAGGCCGAGCGGGAGGCGCAGGCGGCCGCTGAGGCCGAGCGGCGCGCGCGCGACGAGAAGCGGCGCGCCGCGAGGAGCGCGCGCGCCGCGAGGAGGCGGCCGGCCCGAGCAGCGAGCACCGGCACAAGGAGGAGCGCGACCGCGCCGAGAGCAGGCACCGCAAGGAGAGCAAGCAACCGTCGGCACGAGCCGGCGCCGGTGAACGGCCACGATCCCGCCGCCCTCGCTCAAGCCCGGACACCGCCGGCGGCGGGTGACCGCGACCGCGATCGCGACCGTGATCGTGACCGTGACCGGCGTGATCGTGACCGCGACCGTGACCGCGACCGCGACCGTGACCGCGACCGTGACCGTGAAGGGGCGACCGCGCAAGCATGGAAAGGAGCGGGATCGGCGAGACGTCGGCGCCTCGCCCGACGGCGCGGCGCCGACGCCGAAGGTCAACGGCGAGGCGGCGCGCAAGGAGCGGCACCACGGCAGCAAGCACAAGTCGTCGCGGCGCTGATCGGGACCGCTCGGAGCAGGGGCGGCGGCGCGGGCGGCCCCGGCCCTCCGCGAGGTCGACTTCCTCGGCCAGCCAGCAGCGGCGGCGGCGACGAGGAGACCGGTGGCGCATCCTTCGCGGCTGCGCTCGGTGAGTGGGTTGCAGCTTGTACCAGGGTAGACAAATTTCATGTCACCAGACCTCTGGTCTCCTCCGCCATCTCCGCCCCCAGCATGCTTCCTTTGCTGCTGATGCGTTGCCGTTTGACCTTGTGTTTTCACGTTCTGACCTGTCCGTCCGATTTTCCGTGCCGGGGGTGCACAGATGCTGGGTTGACCGCCATCTGGCTCGATGCTGGCTGGTCGGTGTTGAGCGAAGGAAAAGGGCTGCAGTCTGGGGGTCTCAAGCACGTGTGCAGTAACATGCAGATGCCAGCATCCTTGGCACTCAACAGTTAAAGTTACCACGCTGCTGTCTAGGGATAGATGTGGCTGATTGTTTACTTTTTGTCTTTTTCCGGTCTTTGAGACGATTGGCTGCTAAGGATGTGTTACACTAGCCAGCCTCGCCTCGTTGTCGGGGTTATCTCCCGTGTGCAGGGGAAGCAGTTATACATCGATGAGTGCTTCGTGGCGGATCGGTTCGCTCATAACTGGGGATTCGCCCCATCTCACGCAGGCGGCTCCGACTCAGTCGTGCGGAAGAAGAAGAAGAAGTCCAAGTCGTCCTCATCAAAGTCGTCGTCTTCGCTGAACTCCTCTGGTTCTGTGAGTAGCTCTTCCCGGTTACGCTTTGAGTTGTTCCTCGTTGGCCTGGGTCGGATTCACTCTTCCACGCGCTGACCGGGATACCGTTAGTGTCGCCCGATTTCGCTGTGCTGGTCTGAGATTCGGGTCAGTCTGCTGCTGGAACTGGCAGTTGCGTGTCGGGTAAGATTATGTCGAGCATGCAAAGCTGCGTTTCGTCGCGTTACAGCATATCATTATATACCCTAACCGTTTCTGAATGTTCTGGTACGCACCAAACCTCACTAGTGGTTGTACAGTTTGCGCGCTGTGTCTGATAGGTATTTCCACGCGCTGAATTCCAATTTACCACGGAACGGACAGTGCAGACATCATGTAAATATCGCTGGTCTTTGAGGGCGCCGGTGCTGCGGCCGCGGCCTGTCTGTGCATCCGCTGCCGGTTCCCCCCCCCCCCCGTACTGATACAGAGGGCCGTGGCCCCTGTGCTGTCCCCCGGCTGTCACTTTGGCTGCATCTTTGATTCCCCCTCGAAATACCTCATTACTCTAGTCCCGTTCCTGGGTCCAGGCGTGTAGTGCACGAGCGACGAGCATCGCGCCCTGACCCCGCCGCCGCTCCCCGCTCTCCTCTGACCCAGCCGCCGCGCCTCGCTCTTCCCTGGCTGACCCCGCTCTCGCTCGGCAGCTGGTGGAGCGGGCCCGGCCATCGCCGCCGCCGCCGCCGCCGGCGCTCGAGGTGCTGGACGCGCTGCCAGAGATCTCGGGCCACTACCGGCCACTGCCGCGCGCGCCCGCCGCCGGCCGGCCCGCCGCCAAGCGCACCCTGGACGAGGAGGAGGCGTTGGCCGCCGTGCTCGGCGCCAAAAACAAACGGTGAGGGGAAGAGGGAGGTGGGGAACAGCGGCGGTGCCAGGAACACGTGGTGAGGGGAGTCGGCGAACGGGAGGGGGAGGCTGTGAGGGTGGGCAGGGGCGGTGTCAGGAACGCAAGGCGAGGGGATCGTCTGACCGTCTTGTCGCTGCTTCCGTGACCGATGTTCTCCGCCTACGTCAGCCCGTCTGACCAGCGCTCTCCGTGCCCAGGAGCGGCTTCCGTGGCCGATATTCTCCACTTACGTCAGCCCGTCTGACCAGCGCTCTCCGTGCCCAGGAGCGGCGCGTCGCGCTGTGTCTGACCGTCCGTGCCCCTGTGTCTGACATCCGTGCCCCTGTGTCCAGGACCAAGGTGTACTCTGGCGCGCGCAGCGCCGGCTGGTCCCGCGTGCCGACACTGGTGGACATCTGCCTGCGCAGCCTACAGGAGAACATCGACTGTGAGTGCCCACCCTGCCTGGCGTGTGCCGGACACGGCAGTCGAGCCGCTCCGTGTCGGTGACTCAAGGGCGAACTCAGGGGGGCAGATACACAGAGTTCTAGCGGAAGGTACTTCTGCTACGTCCTTTCTGACTGTGTTTGATGCAGGTGGCATTGTGTTTGCGCCTGAATCAGGGCGCATGTTTTCGTGTGGTGCCGTAGGCCGGGCATCTCCCGCAGCCTCAGTGTAGAACCCACATCACATGGACGCCCGATCGGCTGTCTGCTGGTCTCGAGCCCCCCGAATCCACCGGCGCACGTGCTCGCGGCGCCTGCCTGCCGGACTGACGGCGCCGCCCGCCGCCCGCAGACCTGGAGTACACGGGCGGCGTGCCGTACGACATCCTGAGGCCGGTGCTGGAGAAGTGCTCGGCCGGCCAGCTGCACAACATCGAGTACTACAACTCCTACCTGCTGGAGGACACGGACGCCCTCTGGAAGGCGCTGGTGCACAAGGAGTTCCGCGCCGAGCCCCGCCAGGAGATGGAGACGTGGCGCGAGATGCATATCGTGAGTCTCCTCCGGCCGCCCTGCGCTGGACCCGGGGGTGTGTGGGGAGGGGGGGGGGGCTCGGGACTCGGGGCTCGAGACTCGGGGCTCGAGACTCGGGACTCGGGACTCGGGACTCGGGACTCGGGACTCGGGACTCGGGACTCGGGACTCGGGGCTCAGGACTCGGGGCTCGGGACTCGGGATTCGGGGCTCGGGACTCGGGGCAGACCCGATGGGGTAGCGGTCTCTGCTTGGTCGGTGGGCCAGGGATGCTGATGCCTCAGCCGAGCGGCGGTGTTATCGTTGCTTCATGGCGATGTTCATGGTCCGGTGGCGGCTTCGGTATTGGGCTGGGTGGGTCGTTTGGTGGCCACCTCGCTGTGCCAGTGACTGGTGCCTGGTCTGGTCTGGTCTGGTGTGGTTTGGTCAGTGTGCGGCTGCTGGTAACTGTGTCTGTCCGTTCTGAGCGAGCACAGCGGCCTGTTGCCTGTTGACCATACCTGCTGTATCCCTTTAACACGTGCGTAATCCCCGCGGCACGAGCCAACGCGCCCGAGCGCGCTCGCCGCGGCACACAACACGGCCGGCCCGTGACGCGCGGCCGTGTCCGCCGGCAGCGCTGCGCGGAGGAGCGCGAGATCAAGTACAACAAGCTGCGCTCCATCATCGAGGGCAAGCGCCAGGAGTCGCTGGCCAGCAGCCGCAAGACCAAGGTGGCCTACGAACACACAGTGGCCAAACCGCCGAGGAACGTCGCCAGGAAACAGGTGCGAGGCGCCGACGGCGCGCGCTGCGGCGCCGGCCGAGGCGGCGGGAGCGGCGCTGAGGCGGGCTGGTGCTGTGAGCGTGGTAGCTGCGCCGCGTCTTAGGAGGGGTTGCCGCACCTGGTGGTGTAATTCACGTGTGTCGCTGGGATGGTGGCAGGATTGCGCCTGGTGGCCTCATGGGCGAGAGTTTAAAGCAGAAGCCGTTGACGTCCGTATTGACTGTGTGGCTGGATGGTGTCGCGCGTCTGTGAGTAAGCCGTTGTTCCTGTGCGGAACAATGGTCTCCCATGTGCGTCTGGTGAGGTGGCATACTGGTCGCGTTGGGCTGTCCTTGATAGCGACCCTGAGCCGTTATACCACGTCGCCTTCTGGCCCGGTACGTCTCCGTGACCTCTGACCCGATACGCTTCCATGACCTCGCGGGCCCGGTGCGCCTCGGAGACCTTTAACCTGGTACGCCCCCATGACCTCTGACCCGGTGCGTCTCCGGGACCACTGACCCGATACGTCTCTGTGACCTCTGACCCGGCACGCCTCCGTGACCTCTGATCCGATACGCCTCTGACCTACTGACCCGGTGGCCTCTGACCAGACACGTGCCTGGAGCCCCAAGAATATACCAGGATCCCATAAGCACAGAATTTTGTGGGGCCCTGGATCTACCCTTGGGATCCAGACATGTGTCTGCTGCTGGCCCTCCGTAGCTTCAGAACCTTTTTGACCCGGCGCGCTCCTGTAGTCTCCAGACCTGGTGTCTCCCGTTCCCTCTGACCAAGCGTTCCTCTGTGACCTCAAACCCATTGGCCCCTTGGCCTGTGACCTCTGACACCTCTCTGACCTGCCGCCTGACCCCGCCGGCCGCCTCCGACAGGCGAAAAACGGCACGGCTGTGGCGGTGGCCATGCCGATGCCCAACTCCATGGCGGCCGGCGGGGCGAGACAGCCGCGGCCAGCGCCTGGCGCCGACCCTACTAGCCGGCCGGCGGCGCCCGGACGCACCGCCGCCCCGCGTGAGTGCCGCCGCGGCCGCCGCCGGCGGTCGGCCGCCGGGGAAGGAGAGGGCGAGTCGACCGCGCTGGACTTGAATTTCTCACCCTGGGGTTTGCCGCAACAATATTTTCTCCGCGCGGTGTGAAGCTCTGCATGCAGAAAGCGTGCCACCAGCGAGCTCGAAGATACTGATATATTTTATAAGTTTTGTGTTCGGGCTTATTTTTGACATTTTTTAGCGAGCCAGATTCGGATGGGACATTGTCACTTTGTTTGTTCATTCATTCACATTTGTTATATCTGTCACTTCACGCTGGTCATAATTGCCTAAAATTTATGGAACATGACGTTTCAGCCGCCCCTCCCCCTTACTCAATTTTTGTTCGACTGCTGATGAACCTTTCTGTCTTTGCAGAGAAGAAAAAGGCACCTCTCATGGCGAAGGTCTTGCGAGCGATGGGGCGACGGTGAGGCGCCGCGTCTGATTGGCCGTCCGGTTTAACGAAGCCTTCCTATTGGCCGTGACGCGCCGGCCACGCTCGTGAGTGGTCGGGCCCACGATGGGGGAATCCTGGCGCCCGATTGGCTGCCCGGTTGAGAGACGATGCCGCATTGGCTGCGGCCCACCGAGAAGCCGCCGTGATTGGCCGGGCTGACGGTGAACCTCACCGCGAGCGGCCCCGTGATTGGACGAGTCTCTGCAACGTACGGATGCTGGGCCTGGCGTTAGACATGACGTAGGGGACACTAGGGTCATTAGGGAGGGATGTCTGCAATATTCGCCACCGTGATACTGTGGGGACTGGCGTCCTTCCCCGTCTCCTGGTGTAGGTTTGACTGTGATTGGTCGCTGGGGCTGTCTGCCCTCCTGAACGGAGGCGCCCTTGACGCCGGTCGCCCGGCACGTGGCGTGCGCTGGGGCTAGGCTGCCGGAGGGCGTGCGCCACGTTGTCAGCCGCTTGTGAGCCGCCACACTCGGTGCGGCGCCGCTGTCGGGGCGCTCTTCTACAGCCGGCACGGCGGTCCCACGAGAGCCACGTGACTCGTGGCAGCCGCTCTGTGCCGCCGGCCGGGCGCGCGGCCACCGGCAGTCGCCGGCGGCCAGGCGCGGCGGGGCTGGGTCGCCGATACACCATGCGTCGACGCTCTGTGTGCCGCCAGGCGTTTGCCCGTCCGCTGTTTACCCCACTTCATGCATGCCCGTAGGTGGGGTGGGTCGATCGAGGTCGGGACGAGTCCACGCTCGGGTTGTCTGGCGGGGGTCTGTTTTAGGGCCCCCTTACTGCTGCCGCCCCGTCGGATGCATAATACCTGTGTGGGCTTTGCACAGCGTGGCGAGGGTGAGTCCCCTCACCACCCTCAGTTACTGTTTTGCTGTGGTTTTGCCAGGAGGTGTTGCAGCAACGCTGCGCAGCGAATGGTTGGTCCGACAAGACGAAGGGCTGGAGCGTCATGAGGTTAATTTAGTCAATCGAGTTTGAAACTATTAGATGATACATAATAGTGCTTGGTACTTTTATCATCTGCTGTGCTGTGTTCAGTTTCAACTTGACTTGAACTTCTCAAGTCGGGCAACGATTCCATCGAAAGGTTCGGGCTGGCAGTCGGATTTGTGGCAGGAGCGCCAGACTCGAGGTTACGCGTGTTAACGGAAGGCCGCGGAGCCTCCGCAGGCCACGTGTGCACAGCCGCCTGTATTGATCTGCCGCGGCCGCCGACTCCGACTCCGACTCTGTATTGACTCTGCCGCGCCGACGACCGCCGTGACTTCAGCGATGTCATGCTGTTGGTGACGCTTCGCGCCAGGCTGCGTTGTTTTTGGCGTCGTTGCTTGCGGTGCGCGACGGCACGCGGCATTCTCGTGCGGTGTGGAGGTCAAGGTCACGGCGGGCTGTTTCCACCGGTCCCGGGGCCCACGTGTGAGGTGGTCAGGCAGCCCGACTGCCCGGTTGCTGGGGCCCGCCTTCCTCGGATTGTTAGGATTGGTTGTCAGCCAGCGTCTTGGTCAATGTTTGGCTGTCTGCACGCGTATTTCGCCGTGGCGGTCGCCAGTTGGCTATGCGAGCACGACCTGTGCGCGGATTGGTCACCGTCGTCGTGATGGTTCGTGATTGGCTGTCTGAGTACACGACATGTGCGGGTTGGTCCAATTGTTGGCCAGCATCGTGCGCACTGATGGCTCCTTGCGCACGCCCCGTTTACTTATCGGTGGCCGGTTAGCATCATGTTGGCCGACTAGCTGCCTGGGAACTTCTCATGCAATGATTGGCCGCAAGTCAGTGTCTCGATCACCGATTGGCCGCCTGGGCACGTCTCGTGTGGTGATTTGTCGCCAATTAGCGTAGAGGTTACCGATTGGCTACGAGACACGCCTTGTGAGCGTTTTGGTCGCTGGATAGCATCGTGGTACCGATTGCCCGCTTAAGCACATTTCGTCCTGTTATGTGCCGATTGGCTCTCGGCCAGCATCCTGGCCATCGGTTGGCTGGCTGGGCACGCGTCATGCACCGATTGGTCGCCGCGAGAAATCATCGTCACCGGCTGCCCTCTGTGTTGTTTGCCCTGTGAACTGATCGTGCTCCGGTGCCGTTCGCCCCTGTTTTTCTTCTGGCCCTGGTGTGACGCACTCCGAGCGTTCTGAATCACGCGGACGGCTGTATGTGCCCGGGTTGTTAAGGACACTTCGCGAGGCTGCTGTCTCGTTCGCCAGCTTGTCGTGGCGGAGAGTGGGAGTGAATCCGCCATCCGCGTGGTATGGACTAGGGTGTGGGCTGTTGTGATGCTATTTTGCGAAATGGTTGTAATACAAAACTGGATGAGCATACCGGTGTCTTTCAGCAGGCTGCATTCGCCCGGTGGTGCCGCCGTCTGTCGGAACCAATGTGACTATCAGTACCAGCCTCTTGGTCAGGGGCCCCTGTGAGCAGAGCAGCAGAGCAGAGCAGTCTGAAAAAAACAACATGGGGAATGAAGTGTATAATATTTCAAAGCAAATTTCTCATCGCACAACAGGTTCTACTTCACGATGATTTATGTCATTGGACGGCCACTCCCTTGTTGCGCCCCATCTCACTCTGACTCCGTTGCCCACGATTTAGAGGATTGCGAACGTTGTGGAGATTTGAATGTTCCGTGCTCATGGTCATCTGGCCTGTCTGTGGGTAGTGTGAAATGTGTGAAGACAAGATTGTGCTCTGTTGTTTAATTGGCTGGCTGGTCTGGCGGCTGCCATATCAGCTGGTCAGCTGGCGCGTCACTTAGTCCATCAGCCAGCCGGCATCAGTCAGTCAGCTTCGATGATAATAGCGGACTGGCGGAACCCCCTTCCCGCCCAACTGACCAGAACACGCTGGCAGGCCCACGAACCTGAAGTGGACCGACAAAGCCATCTATCCGGGCTGGGAGCTGTAAGGTTGTGTTTTTGCTCAGACGAGGGGCAGTGAGCTCCGTATCCCGAGGCTGAGAGTGAGATGAATTACAACGGCGGTTCGGGCGGCTGCTGAACTCTCGCTGCGACTCAGTGGGCGTACCTTTTGCAATCCGTTGCATGGCATACCTTTTACAATGTTTGCCCCCAGCAACTAGGCATCTTCAAGCAGCTCAAAACAGCCTGTAGAAGCTCTGAAGTGTCACACTGTCTGCGCTGCCGATGTCAGCACGGCGTGCAAATTACGCCAATTCAGCAGTCTCATATTACGTGTAGAAGGAACAGTGTACTAACCGTTAGTACAGTACGATATCACACATATGATACCTTAACCTGTCAAAGACGCTGCACGTTGATGTACCTTGCAGTACGCTAACCGTCTCCGCGCCTGCCTCAGTAACTACAAAGTTTTCATACAAGGGTTGGGCGAGGGTGATTCGTCACCTACGATATATCCATTACAAAATGCAATGCAGCATGAGTCATGATTGTGTGCAAACCTACCGCAGTTGCAATCTCCATTTCTATATTAATGCAAGTCTCCCAAACATCGTTCAAATGGACGCCAGCAATGAAGGATCAAACAGCTTTCGCCGAATTTAGCTCAGCTGGCTCATCAAGCTCACCATGAATTATAACTAACGTCCTTCATATAGGTCCGCCCCGATCCGTCACAGATCCGGATATCCTTCGCACAGGTCCGCGGAGGTCCGATCCGCGCAACTTGTTCACTTCACATCGCTCACACCATGACGTCACGCGTCACCACCCCGCCACAGTTGCCGCTCTCGCGCTCCATCCCAGCACTCAGCGCGTGGGGCGACCAGCCAGCCACCAC